AAACAATCAAGTTTCAACAATGCACGTTTTTTTTTACATTGTTAATTTAGTTAAGATTAACGTCCACTTATTGGACAAACCGTAAACCCCCACTGGAGTGCATGGTGGACCTGACTCCAAAGCCAACCAAACACATTCTACCGAACTCCTTGATTCGCAGCTCTTAATACCATAGATACTCCAGCACGCCAGCAGGGTTGCCCTTTAAAGGAAATGACCTCACTTGTGAATGCCGGAAGTGCTGTTGTGCGGAAGAGTAACATGGTGACGTTGTTACAGAGCCGTGCAAGTGGTTCGCTGTTGATGTTGTGCTCTTGTCGGAATGAATAGTAGTATAGTTGCGGAAACTTTAAGGACTTGACTCAGTAAAGTAAGAGTTAATGTATTATTTTAAGTGTAGCCTTTACTCGGAAGCCCTTTGTTTAAATGTATATGCGGTGTTAGAATGTGTTTCTTGTCATTGTGATGTGAAGTTTGTTTATTAATTGCACAGTGTCGCGCAATAAGCATTTCGGCAGAATGCAAAGAGCTAAGGTTAACAGCTTGAGTCCTCTTGTGCATGTTTCTCGCTGGAATCGATATACCATTTCCTTACTACAGTTTTCAGATTCTCTGATTTTCTTGGATAATATCCTCCAAATAAAACTCCTGTCAACATTTGGGTTTCTATGCAGTTAAATTGTTTTACCAAGGTATAAGATTTACTTCAGGAACAGGCTGTATTTGTATTTGTGTATTTGCTTCTCTCTTCATTTATCGAACGAGTATACTTTCTATTAATATTAGCTTAATGAATTAAAGCAGTTGGCTGTACTTTTGCTTCAGACAAAAATTCAGGGTTTCATACTAAGACCAAGTTACACGCACGACGTCTGTCGATTTTATGTTTGTCCAAATTCCGCCACTGTTCCCGTGTTCCTTACAGTTGCGCAGATCAGCAGCTGTGGGGGGGAAATTGCTCTGCTTTGGGTTGCACCTTTATTTGTCATTGGAATTAAACAGTCAATTCGTAATGTGCATTCAGCTTTAAGCCTAAGGATCTCTGAAAAGGAGAGTTGTTTACTCTCATACCATAAGGTTATTCATTTGTAATCTTTGTCTTAGGGCAGGTGTTGTTAGGACAAACGCTTAAGGCTATCCATGCTTTAATTCGCAGTCATGATACCACAGCAGAATCGGAGAGCCCAGCACTGCACTGGGTGTATTTTTGTTTCTAAAAAGTTGACAGTTGACTGCATGCCATTGCGAGTAATGGACATTAAACAATGAACGTCTGTGCGGATGAAACTGAATTATTTGTCTGCAGTGTTGCTTGTTGTTGTCCTGTGTCTAAAACGTTTCACCCATTTGCCGTCAGAAACGGTTTCACCCAGGTCTTTCTTTCCACCCGCAGTGTTAAAGGCATTCCATCCACCATGTTGGAGTCTTACGTTACTCCGCTGCTGATGAGCTATGTCAACCGCTACATCAAGAACCTGAAGCCATCGGATCTGCAGCTGTCGCTCTGGGGCGGCGATGTTGTCCTCAGCAAGCTGGAGCTGAAACTGGATGTCCTCGAGCAGGTAAGATGTAGCCCCAGAGACCCTCCCCGGTGTATGGGTTTGCATTGTATACGAGGGCAGGAAAAAAACGAAAATAAATTAAGCTGCCATTGTGAGACAACGGGGTCATGCTCTTGAGTGACACAACGTAGACCTAACTTTTCGAAAATCCTCAAAGGCACTGACGAAACGGACTTCTTCAGAGTGAACGGTGGCACGGGAACCAGAGAACGACAGAGGAAACTAAGTGTACGAGCATTTCAAACTGAGCACAGGAAGCACCCAGAATTGTACCCAGAAGACAGTGGGAGTGCGGGAGTGTAGAACAAGCAATCCAGTCAAGTGGTTGAAGTCAGTATCCAGGTTTTGTTTCAAGAAATGGCTGAATAAGATCCTTGGATCATTAAGCTACTAAGCTACAAAATAGTTTCATGCTTGGTGTGCCGAAAGGCCTCCTGTCACTTGTAACTTGATTCACATCTCAGCTCTGTATGTCTACAGATGTGGAGTGCCTCAGTCAGTGTTTAATTGACCCAGTGAACCCAAGGTGCAAGAGGCTAGACTCGTTCAGAGCGTACTCATTTTGCCTTTGACCGCTACCACTGCTTATAAGGTGCTGTCAGTTGTTAGATTCTGTAGTGATTATGCTGAAAATAGGAATACAGTTGTGTGCAATTATTGAAGTTCTTTAGCCTTCTTGTTTCTTTTTTTAAAATGTGCTGGTGGCTTTGTCACAGGTTTACCATACATGTTTGAAAATAGGCGTTATTTTGCCCCATTAAGTGGTCTGTGTTGAAAGCCTTCTCTTGTGAAGAAAGTCCTGCTACTATATGCTGGCTTGGATCATCCCCAGCTGAAACATAAGTATTAAGAGGGGTAGGGGCTCAGTCAATGCAGGAGCTTGTCCTATATATCGCTAGTTCAAATCGGGGTCTTGATGCTAACTGGGATTCCTAAGGTGACAGTGTGCCTTTGTTGAAGGGGTGCTATTAGTTGGTTAGGGCCATCTGACTGCCAGGCATTGACTCTCGCGAAGTCCCAGCTGCCTGCAGTGCTATCGGTTAAATCCAGTCTTTGCTAGCTCCCCTGCTAGGCATTATGAAGCTTCCTGCGTGTCAGTGGCTCTGCATGTCTGCTCATCTCATTCAGTTGCTGCTGGAAGCTGAGTCTTAAACCAATTGGTGGCTGAAGTAATGGGTCTATAGTAATACTGTATATAAGATATGTCCCCATACAATAATATATTGGGCCTTTTTGAATAGCCATTACAGCCTGACCAGTGAAACAACAGTGGACTGCTGTCCTTCTGCCTTTGTTTTATTTTAGGGAGAGTCTAAGCCCTGTATTTAAACTTGATGAATATGGTGTCACAATGCACCTTTAATGAAGTGGGTATGTGTACACATTCAATATAAATGAATATATTAAAGAACTTTGCTTCAGTCTAACCTAAGATGGCTTTCTCTCGTGTAAGTGGGACACGGTGTGTTACGCTATACATTGAAGCCATTGACCAGAGAGCAGAATCTTAGTGGATATGTGTGGTTTTGTTTCTTCAAAGTTTGGGCAGTAGTGCAGTATTAAATAGGAAAGGTCCATTATACAGCAGGATATCAAAGGGAAAAATAAGTTATTTTGATTAGCAGTAGTGAATGCTGTGGGAATGTTTTCTGGGAAGTG